CCAGAGCAGACTGGTCTCTGCTTTAAATACACCCTGTGTGCTATTGATTTTCCATCTACATTTCCAGCTTGAACCTCTTGCATGCACTCTGCACCTTTGTATCAGCTGTTACTCGGCAGTTCCCTTTGGATGTCTAGCAGGCACCTTGCATGTAACACACCCCAAATTGAGCATGCAGCTGGCCCTACCTCACTTCCCCTGCCCATCCAAGCCAGCTGCTACTGCCCTCTGACCTCTCTCATCAGTGGCAGCTCTACTCTTCTAGTGGCTCCAGACAAAGGTGTCGGAGTTATCCTTGGTCTTCACTTCTCTTCCACCACACAGTAGGTCTACCAGAGATCCTCCTATTTTATCTTCAAAATACAGCCACAGCCAAGTGCAGTGGTGCATGCTTGTAACTCCAGCATTATGGGAGGCTGTGGGAGGAGGACGACAGGTTCAAGGACAGTCTGGGAAGCTTAGTGAGACCTTGGCCCAAAATAAAAAACTTAAAAAGACCTGGGGCTGTAGGTCAGGTGGTAAAGCACTTACCTAATATGTGCAGTGAGCCCCTGGGTTCAGTGCCAAATACATACATGTAAAAATATGGTTAATGCTTAAAATTTAAAAATTTATTGGAGTAAAACACATATCACCATTAATCCTCCCAAAATATTCTCCTTCAGTTTGAACAAAAGTATCCCCAACATTCATGCCATTTTCTGAAGCAGTTCAGGAAATCCTCTTTCATGAGTGTCTTTAGTTGTGCTGTCATGGCTGCCTTGACTTCCTGATCGCTCATAGCCTTTACCTTTGGTGGCCATTTTGACTTTGGAGAAGAGCCAGAAGTTGCCCGGGGCCAGATCCGTTGAATAAGGTGGCTGAGGACATTCTAATCTGTTTATGAGTCTGCCTTTCTGTTGGATGGCACTAGCCAGCACTGTGCACCAGTTTTCTTTAAACCTCATAAACACATTCATGAAAGAACTGCTACAGAAAATGCTACAAAAGAAACTGCTACAAAGAAATGCTACAGAACTGCTGCAGAAAATGGCAAGAATGATGGGATAAGTGTGTTCAAAGTGAGGGGGAGCATTTTGAGAGGGATTCGTGGCAATGTATCTTTTACTGTAAGAAATTTAAATGTTCACTATATATTTCAATTTTTACCTTCACTCCTGCCACTCTGCTCTCGGCCACTATAGCACTGTGGCTGCTCCTTTGAACTCTTTTCTTTCTTTTTTTTTTTTTTTTGGTAGCACTAGAGATGGAACCAATGGCCTTGAATCTGTTAGGCAAGTCCCCTACCACTGAGCTACTCCTCCAGCCCTCACTTGGACTCTTGACATGATCTCCTAACTGGTCCATGGCTTCTGCCCCTGATGCCGCCATCTCAGCATAGTCCTCAAAGAGAATTTAAAAAAATAAAATCACTTTGTTCCATGGCTCAAAATCCTCCCATGTCTCCATATCACTCAAATGATGAGTCATACCCCTTAATATAACCTCAAAGGACTGTAATACTTTTCTCGGGCTTCCTAGTTTTAAGTTTAGTGGCTTAAAACAATACAAAGCTGTTCTGTCACAGTTCTGGAGGTGAGAAGTCTAGAATCAAGGGGTCCACAGGGCCACAAACCCTCTAGAAGCTCAGGGGCAAGTGTGTTCCTCTCCTTCTCCAACTTGCAGTGTCTGCTGGCATTCCTCAGCTCGCTGCATGTTCCCATTGTCTTCTCGGTGTATCTGTCTTATAAGGACACAGGTGGCTGTGTTTATGGCCCATCTAGCTAATCCAGGACAGGCTCTTCTCAAGATTCTTTTTTTTTTTTTTTCTAAATAAATTTTCTTTCTTTTTTTTTTGTATTAAATTCTTTTATCGGTACATTGTAGGTATACAACACAGTTACATTTCTCATTGGGAACTGTACCTTTATATAATGCGTCTTGGTTCAAGACTCTTAATTTATATTCAATAGGTAAGGGAATATTCAAAGGTTCCAGTGATTAGGACACATACCTATATTTTGTGGCAGCTACTGCTCAACTACCACATGGAGGGCCCTACCTGACCTGTCTCCATCACCTATCTGGCCTAATATCCTGCTCTTTTTATTCTTATTCTCTCCTCTACATATTCACTGGCCCCTTTGTTGTATCTCATGTAGACCAAGCTCATTCCTGACACAGGACTTTTGCACCTTCTATTTCAGCATTGAGGCAGAGTAGGGAGGGGAGTTGAACTTGCAATTAGGCCATTTGAGGCATTCTTGATTTTATAAGATGTCAAAGTAGCACACAGTACAGGGCCTTGATGTTAGATCACATGGCCCCCTAGGCTTAGGTCTTCCTTTGATCCCATGTGCCCACTTCAGGAGGATCATCCTTTTATGATAGAAAAGAAGCTGACCTGATCATTAGGACATTGTCATATCAGTCACACACACACAAAAAACATTTCAAAGTATTGTTGGAGAGATAGCACATCACCAAACTTACAAGAAAAATTCAGATGCATATGTTTTATTGAACCTGCTAAGAAATACATGTATCAGTTCTTTTTTCCATTGCTAAGACAAAATAACCAACACCTACATCTTAAAGGAGGAGAAGTTTAATTTGGCTCATGGTTTCAGAGGATTTAGTCCATTGTCATCTGCCTCCAAGGGGAAAACATCATGGGGAAAGGTCTGGCAAGCAAAGATGTTTAGTTCATAGTAGACAGGAAGCAGTGCTCACCAAGGGGGGACCAGGGACAGTCCTCAAGATCATGATCCGTGACCCACCGAGACAAACCCAGAGGTGTGCTTTACATCTCTTCTGTCACTCCTAGGCCAATCAAGTTGACACAATGAAGCTTAACCTCTACAATGTGTGGCCTAATTCGCTGGAGACTTGTTTATTTTGCATTGTAACATACCCTCTGATAGAGATATTATGTAGGAGGGATAATTTACTTTTCATTTACCTCTAATCTTCAGCCTCCTGCTCAAATCAGACTACAGCTGTCACAAACCAGAAGGGCCCCTCATGATTTGGAAAACTTAGGGATCCCCAGGGGCTGATACCAAAAAACCTAGGCAGTCTGCCACATTTCTAGCACCCTTCTCTCTTCCCACTCAACACTCCCCCTTGAAAGCTTCTGCTACCAGTTTTTCTATGACCGTTTTCCTGCAGATTTGCCCACACAAGCAATCCCAGTCTTCGCTGGAGTAGCAGATTCACTTTCCCACCTGTGTGGTGGACATGAATTACCACATGCAGCCATTGTTTCAGTAGTTCATCCAGGCATTAGACATTTGTTGAGTGGTAAGTGTTCTAGATGCAAAAGAACACGAGAAATCTTGCCATCTTCCTGGAGTTTATGAGTGGTGGGGATATCAGGCAGGCACACCAACTACACATCCAGTATGGAGTTGTCTTCTATCCCCAGATTTCTCCTGTCTTTTTCAATGAAAGAAATCATCATCCCACCACCTGCTAAGATTTGCAGCTCCAAAGTCATACCTGCTTCTTCTTCCTCTCTTCAAAATCTCCCATTCATTTTTATATTTCTGCCCTTCACCTGGTTTGGTTACTGTTTGCTAGGCAAGAGGCAACAATGTAACTGTAACAAAGTTTTGTTGGTTTGAACTAAATTGTATTAAATCCCTCATCCTCTATTCTTACTAAACTATATTTTATTTGGTTATTTGTAAGATCCCCTTTAACATGGATGGTTCTTGACAAAGAGGTATGCTATGTGCTTTATTAACAGTAGCTTTATAGCTTTAAAACCTGTCTCTTAAAGTTCTCATCTTAAGAGATTATGGTTGTAAGACTTTCAAAGAGTCTGAAAACTTCATTGTGTGGAAGACCAAAGCAAGCCCACTGACATGGTCTGGTTTTTTAAGGCCAGATCGGAGTTAAGGAAAGAAACATCTTTGCTGCTTAGAAAGATGCTGATGGTGCTATTCAGAAAGGGACTCTAAGGATTCCAGTTTTAAACAAACTCTAATAACAAAACACTTCCAGCCAAAAGAGAAAGTTGATCTCCTGACATAAATGGTGCCAGCAATACCACTGTCCTGCCTTCAGCAATGCTGCTGACGCTCAGTGACGCATCTGCCACTCCACTTTTGAGAGGGCCCGTCCCCTCTGAATGAAATCTTTATTCAAATGTTTAAACCCTCCAGGGACAAGGGAGGGAGAGGACAAAAGAAGTACTTCAGAAACAAATGGGAACCAAGTGCCAAGTTTCTGTTCTTGTTACTGTTCAGGTTTTGGCCCTGCGAAGACAGTCTCAATTCCATGTTTTTCGTTAAGCTGGTTTGTTTGGCAAAATCGAATGATAAATACAAAACTCTGAGGTCAGTCTCACCTTACTCTGAAAGCTACAGCTGGGACGCTCAGCTTTCCGTGGTCAGGAAACTTTGGAAGCCACTGATCTGCCCTTGACAACAGGAGGCAAAGATATGGGCCAGATAAGTTTTTCTTTACCAACGCAGGAATCTAAGACTTTTCCCACTTAAAAATCCAACACACAAGCAAACCTTTGTTGACCACTGGGTGTCCTGGTCAGGTGAGGGAGAAGGAGGCAGGCTGGCTGCTAGGACAGATTGAACACGCGTGCTTCCTACAGGCCCTGAGTCTGCTCTGTCGGTTAAAAAGCAACACAACAGACCCCTGCCTCTTTCCCCAATCCCCACCCTCAGAGCTTATAAGCAGTGACAGACTGAAAACCAAGCAGGGAAAGGGAAATGGGGGAGTTCTGGGACCAGCCTGTGGGGACTTCTGGGGACCCAGGCCCCTCCCCTGCATTGCCTTCTGCATCACGCTGCCTTGCAGACCCCCATCACCCACTCAGTGAAATGGGCCAAGCGCCACAGAAACATCATCCTCTATCCCCAGCTACCAACTCCGCACCTTGAATGTAATCATTATGTACTGCAAACATGTACTAACAAAAACAAACATTTTTTAAAAAACAATCTGTGACATCATAATGGGCAGTGGGTATTAAGTGCTTGCTAAGAGCCAGGAGCTGTTCTGTGTGTCTGCCTGCTTAATCACAGCACTCTGCGGACATGAGTAATTGTATGATCATTCCAGTTTTATAGAGGAGGGGAAAGACCCACAGAGAGGCCAAGTGACTGGTCTAAGGTCACACAGCTGATCGACAGCAGAGCTGGGATTTGAGTCCAGGCAATATGACTTCAGAAGCCCCTTACCATCCCCGCATAGACCCAGCCTGCCCCTGAGTAAAGATACGCAAGTGGCCAACTGGCCTGGACAATAGCACCCTTGCCCCTACCACATACAGCCATTGCCGTGGCTCCTGGGAGACAGAGAAGATGCACTGGTTTCATGGGCCAGGCCTGCTGAGAATATGGGTCTCCATGGGCCAGTGTACCACCCACCCACCTGGGAGGCCTTGGGGCCCCTGCACACTGCACTGTCTTTGGGGGTGCCCAACCTGATCAGAGAGAAGGAGGAGTCAGTGAGCCACTCTCACATGTGGGTAGGGTGGGATGCCAAAGCTGCATGGAACCTGTGTATCCACCCAGTGACCCACCCAAGGAAGGGGAAGTGCATTTGTGGACTAGAAAACAAACAGCTTGATGATCTTGACACAGATCCAGCAGATGCCATATTAGTCTCGCTGCTATAATGAGTACCATGGCCTGAGCGGTTTGAACAGCAAGCGTGTATTCCTCACTGCTCTGAAGCAGTTAAGTCCAAGATCAAGGTGCAAGCACATCCAAAGTCAGGTGAGGACCCACTTCCTGGTGCATAGATAGCTGTCTTCCCACATCTTCACATAGCAGAGAGCAGAGAGAAAGAACTAAAGAGAGGCTCTCTTGAATCTCTTCTATATTGTAAGCCCCTAACCTATATGAGGGCTCCCAAAGGCCCCTCTCCAAATGCCATTACAGTCAGGGTTAGAGTTTCAACATATGAGAGCCAGGCAAAGTGGCACACACCTGTAATCCCAGCACTTGGTGGGGCTGAGGCAGGAGGATCACTATGAGTTTGAGGCCAGCCTGGGCTACATAGTGAGTTCAAGGTCAGCCTGAACTACATAGTAAGACCTTGTCTCAAATGGGAACAAAAACACTGAGATTATAAATTTTATCAAGCCCCAAGACTGAATTCCAAGTTGAGGTGTTAAGGCCATTCTATAAGTTCTATAAGTCTTTGTCAACATTAAAAAATTAAGCACTCGGCCGGGGATTTAGCTCAGTGGTTTCGCCACCTGCTGTGCAAGCGCAAGGACCCGAGTTCGATCCCGGGCACCAAAAAAAAAAAAAAAATTAAGCACCAAAAAATTATGCATAGTGATGTACGCCTATAATCCCACTCAGTAGGCTGAGGCAGGAAGGTTGTAAATTTGAGGTCACCCTGGCCAATTTAGTGAAACCCCTTCTCAGATAAAGAGAGAAATAAAATGTAAGAGAGAGAGAGAGAAACAGAGACAGAGAGACAGTGACAGAAAGACAAACAGACTGAGGCTGCATGGGCCTGAACTAAGCCCAGAGAGTGCTCATTCCCACCTCTACCCAACCTTCATATGACCAGAAAGTTTAATTAACGACCACATCTCCATCCCCAATGGCTCACTGAATATTGCTCTGTCACTAGGATAGATGGTTCATCCACTTTGGTCATGACTGTATCTCTGGTGTCCCACTGCCCGAAGTGTTGAGGTGCTGACTAGATTTGTGGAGTTGCGACCACCCTACTCCTCTGTCTTACTGAGATCTGGCCATAGCCTCTTCCTGCCAGGTCCAATGTGTCCAAACCTGGCGCAGTGTCTCTGGGTTCCAATGAGACTGTGCTACCTCTATCGACCCAGAGCAGAGGTGACCACAGAGGTGACTGTGATCACTGTGAAGATAAACATTCTGGGTTGAGATTAATTTGGGGATTTTCTAAAAAAATATATGTTATATTTCCACTTTGGTTTAACTCAGGTGCAATGCTTAAACTTTAAAAGAATAAATTAGTCAAATGAAAGAATCTCTTTCTATGGAACCAACTGTTTCAACCAAACTCCTATCTTAAGTCTCTGAGCAAAGTCCATAGACCTTTTCCTCCTAGAATAATTGAGCTGTGGAACTGAGATTATAAATTTTATCAAGCCCCAAGACCAAATTCCAAGTTGAAGTGTTAAGGCCTAATGTTGATATTTTGCTTTTTAAGTCAACCAAGTCATAATTTGAAACAGTTGTTCATTGGCAAATCCATTTTCTGACTTTTTTCCTGATCTTCTGATAACAGTTTCAACAGTTAAAGGATTAAAATATGAGTCAGTCAAACAAAGTATTTAGGACTCAATATTCAAGGTAGTTAACATTCTATACTAAAATTACAATGTGGAATGGAAAGAAAAGTGACTGGAAGGATGAACAATTGCCCCCAGACAACTCTCCCTCATAGTGGCCACCCACTTGTCACCACCTGGCACTGCAGATATTTGAATAAAGCAAAGACATGAGGTATCTAACTCCAGAAACAAGCTCCAGCAAATGGTCCAGCTTATTCTTTTAATTCTCAACCAATTTATAAAAGCCATCTGATATGCTGCTTTCATACCAAGTTCTTATCACCCCATGTTAAGTAACTGAGTCTAGCGATTTTCCAGATCAGGGCATTACGATTGTCCTTTGATTTGGAGAGCAATTTAAGACTTAGTCTTTTCGCTGTTAACAAATTGCTCCCAGATCTTCGAAAAGAGGACAACAAAAGCCATTTTTTGATAGTTGAATATTTATTACTTAAATGGGGGCAAAGCAGCAATGGCTTATAATGCTGGCAAATTTATTTGGAAGTGTTCTGTGAACAAATTTAATCCAAAATATTTTATAGATAACAATAATTACATAAAGGTCACTGGAGGGGAAGAGAGTCCCAAGATACAGACTAGTGCTTTGCAGTAAGCTGTGGGCTATTCAGAAGTTAAAAGGAGATGAAGGAATGAAGAGAGCTGGAGAATCAACTTCTAAATGACCAAGAAATGAAGAGAAATAGGCATGAGAGTTGAGAGAGACTTGGAGTTTGTTTGTGTGGTTGGTTGGTGCTGTGGATCGAATCCAGGGCCTCATGCATGCTAGGTGAGCACTTTACCGCTGAGCTACACCCCAGACCTCGGAGTTCACTTGAAGGGAAATCCCGACATGTTTGGAATTATGTTTTGTTGGTGATCCTTAACCAGGAGCATCCAGATGCTTCTGATGTGTTTGTTTGCTTGGATAGTGGAATCAGAATCCCTAGGTGGGGCCCGGGTAGGTATACTGTGGATAAAGCACCCTAGTGGTTCTAATGTGCACCTTTTGTAAGAAAAGAACAGTACTATATACTGATTTTTCCTTCTTGATTTTTTTCCTTATAGCACAATTTAATTTTTTCAATGTCATTAAGTTTTAAACTATGTTTTGATTATAAAAACAATGCATTGAAAATGTGGAAAATATAAAAAATCACATAAAAAGATTAAAATCATCTCTAATTCCATTAACCTGAGATATTCTTTTAGTGTAGGGAATCTAAATGTAATCTCTTTGATAAGCCAAAAGATTGATGCCCTAAAACTCTGAAAATTTATGGAAAATTACTGCTCAATTTCTTGCCTTTTCAAACTCATATGTGGTTTTTGTATTAGTATTATGTGCTTTCCCTTGAAACAATTTCTCCAGTTAATAATCCACACACATTGTACCATACCCTTCAGTACCTTTTGAGAATATCACTTTTAAAGGGTGAATAATATTCCATTAGCCATCCCCCCCAATTGTTTTATAGTGATATTATTCATGTTTGCTACTATTGATAATGTTGTAATAAACATTCCTGTATATACATCTCTGCAGTTTTACATGTATACCTTTTTCTTTCATTCTGAAATACAGAATTACTAGATCAAGTGGTGTGTCATTTTGGAGACTCTTGGCATCTATTTCCAAATGGCTTTTATGAAAGATCTTGTCAATCTGCACAGCCACCAAGACTGTACTGAAGTGTGAGTAGCTGAAGTTCTTTGTGTGATTTTAAAAATGTATTGTGTAGCTTCGATTTATTTTCAGAGTTTTTGTATTAGTAAAATTTTTAATGACAGCTTGATAAAGAGCCAACTGTCCTTCAATAAAGTACCTGAAGAAGAATGACAAAAACGTGCCTGAGTTACTCAATATCCTTCTTTAGGCCTCAGGCCAGGCATCGCCTCCTCTAGGGGGACTTCCCTGATGGCTCCTTCCTTTCTTTGGTGCACATGTTAGATGTGTTTGTATCACAGCCCCAGTGTCTGAATAAGCTCCGGCTGGGGGTGGAGGGAACACTTCTCCTTAGTGTAACCGCTGGTGCGGTGGGGGGGAACTCTTCACTCTGGTGTCAGTGCCCGGGGAGCCACTACCTTCCCCTGGCAGCTAACACTGAGCCTAGTTCACCAGCTGGATGCTCCAACTCCAGATTTCTGTCTTGCAGGAACAGCACAAGCACAGGGATGGTTGGGAAATTGCTCAGGGCAGCAGAGGGTCCAGCAGCTGCAGCGGCCAGTTCTGTGCTTCAGTCTGGTCCTAGGGCAGGACATGAGCTGTGTGCCTTGAGGCATCCACTCCTTTCTCAAGACCGCTCTCTTGTCCTCTGGGACAAGGGTTCTCGTAAGAGGGAGGGAGAGGGCGAGAAACAGGAAAAGGCCCTGTGTCAGTGGACCTGCAGATTGGAGTATGTGTCCACGAGCCAAGGAATACTGGTGACCTCTAGATGGTGGGAGAGTCAAGGAATGGACTCCGCCCCCTGTCCTGTGGTCACCACCCCAGAGCCTTCAGAAGGAGCCAGTCTTGACCACAGCTTGGCTTTAGCGCCACAAGATGCTGTGGACTTCCGACTTTCACATTGTAAGATAATAAATTTGTGTTGCTTTAAACTAAATCTGTATCAGTTTGTTATAACAGAGTTATGGTTTATATCTGTATGTCCCCCCAAAACCTCATGCGCTCATAGGTGGAGTTCCTGAGAGATGACTGGATCACAGGGATGTGGTACTCAACAGTCCAGTGGTGAGTGTACAGCTAAATGCAATGTTGGGGGTGAAGTCTGATTAGCGGAGGTGGTCACTGGGGCGTCGCCTGGAAGAGTCTATCTCCCTCCTTCCTCCCCTTGACTTCTCTCTCTCTCTTTCTGCCGCCATGCTGTGAGCTGTTTCCCCTCTGCCATGCCACCCTGCCTTGGAGCCAGCCAACCATGGACTAAAATGTGAGCCAAATAAACATCTCCTTCTTTAAATTTTGGTTGTCAGGTACAGTGTCTGAGCAATGAGAAAGTAACTAAAATAAGCAGCCATCAACAGCTTCCTGTTGATTCTATGATATGCTCCCAATACAAATTTCTACTTAAGCCACAGTCTACTTCGACTGCATATTACTCACTAGATGTCACCTGCGTGTAGCCCCATTGTTGGTTGGGTGATCATCCTCTGTGTTTCCATACCATTAGCTGCTCCCCACAAAGAAGCCCTCTCACTCTGAATTGTGATTTTCTGCTTACTGGGCTGTCCCTTCCTCCTCACCAGAATTCAGTAAGGACAAGGACTGAAGTTGATTCATCTTCGGACACCAGCACCTAGCACCATGTATGAGTAAATATTACTCACGTGAACAAATTAATACTTGTGTACAAACATGTCCAAAAAGATAGAAATGACTTAATGGGAAAAAGTTTGGATAGAGAGACATTCACATTAGTCTCCTTTTCTTTAGACAATGGAAATTATTTTTAAGTATACTTATCTAAAAGGAAATTTCTGTTCTGATTTATGATAGGACTTTAAAAAGCTGACTAAACATATAATGTGTTAGCTAAACCACTTGCATGGAACCAAAAGCAAAGTAAATGCAATCAATTAAAACCTAAAGGGAAATGAAATGTCCGTCTCGGTTACCCTGGGTGTGGCCCTGTTCTCACCCCGTGGTGTTATCGCAGGACACTCTGGTGGTTAGTTGCAAAATCTTGATGGTCTGCTAAACCTGGCTTTATCTAGGCTGACGTGGAACACAAATTTGAGATACTTGAACTTATGAGAACTCTCTCCCTTGCATGACAGGGAATCTTAAATGACGTTCACCCCTTCCCACCAACCATGTTCCAGGTCTAAATTTTTAAGCCTTTGGACTCTATCCTACAAAAACTCAAAAGCACAAGTGCACAAGGATATCCACGGCAGCTCGATTTGTAATAGCATTGGATTGGAAGCAACCCAAATGTCAATCAACGGGAAAGTGGTAGAATAAATTATGAGACATCTCTAATCCAGAGGGTTATGCATTCCTTAAAAAGCATGAAGTAGTTTAATGTGTACTATTTTCTTTCTAATCATTTTTCACTGCTCAAAACTCTCCAGGGCTTTTAGTTGCATTTAAGTGAGATCCAAACTCCCTCCTATGATCTAAAATGCCCTCCATGGGCCAGCTGTGCCTAACCCAGGGCCTGCAGTCTCCCCTCCTTCAGCTGGACCCAGCTCATTGGCCTTCTTTGTCATCTCTTCAGCCACCCCAGCTCATTCCTAGCACAGGTTCTTTGCACTTGCTGTTTTCTCAGCTTTTTTCCCCTGGTCAGTGTTTCCCAGCTTTAACTACACTTCAAAGCCACCTGTATTCCATGCTGCATCCCAAACCTATTCATTGAGAACCTCTGGAGTGGCGTCCAGGCATCAGCCTCAGGTTATTTTGGTTTTGACTGCTTGTATATGTTTAAACTTCCCGATGATTCTTTGTACAGCTCAGCCTGAGAACGCAGGTGGCTTCGCACAATGGCTCTTGTCCAACATCCAAAGCCTAGTTCAAATGTCATCTCCTCAAAGAAAGCACTCTGCTTATACTACTCTGCAAACTAAAACTTTCACTTATGAGCTAGAGTTTAAAAAGTAAAGTATAACCAAAAAAGGAATACAAGCTGAAAATGAATTTATAAATATAAAGATGATAAATGTGACTGGCATACAATGAATGGACAGTAATTGAAAAACAAATAAAATTTAAAATGAGTAAAGGATTTGAATAGACATCTTTCCAAAAAGGATATAAAAATGGCCAACAGGTGTATGAAAAGGCACTCAACATCAGTAATCTGAGGGAAATGCAAAGCAAATCCACAGTGAGATACACATCACACTTTTAGGATGGCTACTGTGAAAAAGAGAAGAGATATCAAGTGTTGATAAAGGTGTGGAGCAAAGAGAAACTTCATACACTATTGGTGGAAAGGTAGATTGATACAGCCACTGTGGAAAAAATTCCTCAAAAAACTAAAATTAGAACTGCAATATAATCTAGCAATTCTACTTCTGGGAACATATGCAAAGGATAGGAAATTACTACCTTGCAAAGATATCCATGCACCCACATTCAATGTGGCATTATTCATAGTAGCCAAGATATAGAAACAACTGAAGTGTCTGCCAACAAATGAATGGATAAATTTTGGACTATCTATCCAATGAAATATTATTCAGCCTTCAAAAAAGAACACAATATGTACTGCCATTTGAGACAACATGGATGAAACTGGAGGATATCATGCTGAGTAAAATAAGCCAGATACTACACAATCTCCATTATATGTGGAGTCTAACAATTTGGATACACAGAAACAGAATGGAATGGTGGTTAACACAAGTGTGGAGGGAAGGAATAAAAGTATGTCAAAGGGCGGCAACTTGCAGTTATAGAAGATGAGTAAGTCTAGAGATCTGATGTAGAGCCTGAGGACTGTAGTTAATAATATTGTATTTACACTGAGAGGTGATTTTAGGTGCTCTTACCACATGTAGAAAAAAGTCACTTTATGTGGTGATGGGTGTTTAAATTTGCTTGCCCATAGCAATGTCAGGATGTGTATGTATATCAAAACATCATGTTGCTTATCTTAAAAAGAGGATAGCAATATCAAGGTAAACAAATTAAGTTTCAGTTTGCTCCCTTGCTAACTGTGACCTTGTGGTAGTTACTCAACACCTCTGAGGCCTATGAAAATAGTACTTAACTTAGAGGATGTTTTCAGGTATAAATGAGACCATGAATGTCCCATAGAAAACACTAAGTAATTAATGTTCATTACTATTAAGTAACAAATGATTGGCTGAAACCAGCAGTGATTCAGAAATTCAAAAAAAATTAGGAACAGCAGGTGTCTGGAGATCAGAGAGCTTTTCCACATAGCGCTCTGACTTTAGAGTTTATCTTAAAGCTAGAACAGGGGCAATCAGAGAGGATGATGAGGGTCAAGAGCAGTGCTATGGGATTCAGTTGCGTCCAGGGGACTGGGAGTAGGAGGAAGGAAGGATAGAAGCAGGATTTTGCAGTTTGTTCAAGCATGAAGGGTTAAACAAGAGGAAAGAGCTTGTCTAGAAAAGACAGCACAGAGGTATGTCAGGATAGGTGAACCTTCTGTTTTCTATCATATGGCATCCTTTCAGTACTGGCATTTACCTGGGTTAAATTGTGCAAAAGAATGCCTCTGATTAGAAGCAGATCTGTCTTGGGTAGAGGTGGAGGTGGGGTGGCAGGAGTCAGGCTTTGGAAGGCCACTCCCTTTTATAGAATCATGTCCTCTCTTAGATATTGTCTCTGGGGAATTAAGGTGGCGAATTTAAAGGTTTTCCGGGGACAGATCCCGTACCCGTTTCAAGTGGTAACATTTGGCCCTGCAGGGGAAAACGCAGCTCCTCTTGGGGGAGCCTCGCTCCGTCTGAGTCCGGGTTCCGGCAGGAAAGGTCGGCACATTCAGGTCAGTGAAGGAAAAGGACAGCCGAAGGTCAAGGAGAGCCAGCTTTGACAGGAATAGCGAAGGGAGCGGGAAAGCTGTTAAGATCCTGAGGGGAGCTGGTTGATAATGCCGCGGCTTCTGCAGAGGAGTTTAATCAGTGCCAGCCATCCCCAAGCAAGGAGAGAGCTGGGAAATAAACACCCTGGTCTCCTGCAGGTGACTGGACGGCTGGACAAACCCAAGCAGGAGCCAGAAGAAGAGTGTCTGCCGGCCCAGTTCAGTCCACACAGGTCGGCCTCTCAGGTGCAGAGCAAGATGGAGGGCAGCAGGGATCCGAAATATCCAGCATGGCGAGCCATCCTGCAGGACGACATCTCACAGAAGGGGCTGATTACCAGCCTGCGCCCTCCCCGACAGTCCCTTGAGTAGATCCCTTCCACATCCCTCTCTAAACCCCAATCCCCTGCACGTCCAATTGATCGTCAAGCCTTGTCAACTGGATCTCCTAGTATCTCTCAAAATATTCTCTGCTCACACCATATGCCTAAATCCCCTGGGGATTCAAGATTTATGGTTTTACTTCTTATAGCTAAAAGTACTGGATGAAAACCTCACTGGGTATTTATATAACCTTGGAGCAAAGGGAGGACTTCTCAAAGCAAGACCTTAAAGGCAAAACCACAGAGGAGAAGATTGATAGTTTGTACTACATAAAAATGAGAAACTTCCATTTGACAAAACCACCATGAGCAAAGTTGAAAAGGCATTAAAATACAGCCAAAATAAGATTCAAACAACAAAATAATATTGTCTCAGCAAATTTAAGTAAAAGGAGTACTGTCTAAATATATAAAGATCTTATACAAATAGATAAGAACTGGTCCACATTCGGGGAGAAAGAGAGAGCTAAGAGGAAAACCGGACAGATAAGAAAAAAACTATGAAAATAAAAACAGACACATAAAGATACGAACAAGACTGATGAAAGAGGGAAAACAACTTGATAACAGCACATGAAACAATGTCTACCCAATCCCAGAAACGCAAATTTAAACAAGAAATTTTCTCCAACAAATTCACAAAGATCGTTTCAAATGAGATCACCCAATGTAGGCAAAAAGGCAATGAAAAGAACTCTCATGGATTGCTTTGAGAAGTATAAATTTTGAAAAAGCAACCTCGCTATTAAGTATTGAGAACTTTGAGTATTTGTCTCCCTAGACCCTCCAGCTTCACTTCCCCACATCAAGCCACTGTGCTGCTCACAGGATGAAGTCCAAGCAGCTCACTATGTCATATATCTTTCGCATTTCATCTCCTACATCTCCCCAGCTGACATTTGTCACTCCATCAATATAAGACCTAGATTTCATTGCCTCTGAACTTTTCCTGCCCGTTTTCCTCTGTCAGAAAGTCCTTCACCAATTTCTCGGCTTGGCTCACTTTGCTCA